CTAGACCTGGAGTGGGCGCTTCACAAGAGCCTTGCAACTGACCTCAGTTGCAGTTTAGAGTAATTTGTTTTCTTTACTGTCTAATAGTTATTGTGCATGTTTTGTTTTGATTCTGTCAAAAATAATAGCTTGTATATATCAGACACAATATATAGAAATGTTTTGAATGGAAATAAACATCCAGGTCCAGCGAGGCTGTCAAGAGATGGATGTCAATATCTCAAAATGCTTCGGATTCCCTTCTAATGTTCTTCAGGTCATGAAATTTGTTTTTCTTTCCTGGTTGTGGTTTCACTGCTTTTGTTGACTGTTCATTAAATGAGAAAATGGCTTCCAGAGCAGTCAGGAAATGTTGTATAAAAGACTAGTAACAAAAATGTATGAAATTGCTAAAGGCAGGGTGGGGGACCATGATCATATTTGAGTGTGTCTCCCACAGTAAGGGGGCTGTTAGTTTGTTGCAGGCTGGGGCTTCTGCACTTTTCCTAAATTCTCAAACTTTAAAGATTGTTGCTATGGGGGGGGGGCTGCCAAAATTTAAGGTTCCTCAGATTTCAAAACAAAACATGTCTCTTGGCCAAGTTTCAGTCAGGCTTCTCTGGTACAAGCTATGCCCTGTGAAAATTCCTGATACCAGCACCTCTGCTGGGAACCCAGTAGGCTCCTTTGGGAAGTGTGGACTCAAGACCCCCTAGGCCTTCGGAGCTCAGTCTGGGAAAATGAGGGCCTGCTTGGTACCCCTCCCCTTGCAAACCTCAGCCCCTAGCTCGTAGAGATGGAAACTAGCTCTTAGCTAGATGGAGATTTAGCAAAACTGCTAAATCTCTAATATTCAGTATCCAAAATTCCCACTCACCTTCCCTGAAGTGAATTTGATGTATACTTTAAAAATACATTTTTAATCGATGTATATATCTGCATACATACAACGGGAAAGAAAGAAGCAAGAGGCTGCTGAGGAGGCCCTACAACTAGAATTGTTACCCCACCTGTCTGGCGCAGTCAGGCGGTGGTACCCAGAGCCGGGTCTCAGAGTCTGAGTCTCCATTCAGAGGTTTGCCTCGAAAACAACCGAACAAAGGCAGAAGCCGCACTGAGACCTCGGATGGGGAGGACTAAGGAAAGGACGAGGAAACCAGACTTACTCAGACCCAGGCCCTAAGACAACACAGAGAAGCTGTTTCTTTCCAAAATATACCATTAAATCATCGCGTTCTTTCCCTTTAGCCTGGGATATGTGGGGGGAGCGGATACTCATGGAGACCACTCCCCAAAGAGAATGAAATTATTCTAAGTGTAAAATGTTGTCTGTCGGTTTAGCAATGTTTTCCAAATCTATCCCTTTTATTGATCCACACAAACACAAAGACGGTGGTGTCTCCTTCCTTAGCCGAGATCGCAGCAGGGGTTTGAAACCACGAGGAAATTTGTGAGAAACAAATGCCCGAGAGAAATGATGCTGAAATCTGAGTGCTCAACATTCCCTTGCAGAAAGACAAATGCATTCTCCTAAATGAAATGCCGCAGTCCACAGGCCTCTTGACTAAGAAAAACGTTTTAAAATGAGAAAATAACATCTTTGTCTGACATTTAACCGGTTGTGAGCTCAGAGAGCCGACCAGGGGACGCTTTTAAGGCTTGGGGGTTCTCCCCAAGGGAGAAGGGCTGGGGAGGCTTCCGGGATGCCGACGGGTGGAGGAGAAATCCGGAATCGTTGTAAATATTCATGTCTGCTGGGGGTGGGGGAGGTGTGTGTGTCTGTGTGTCTGTGTGTGTGTGCGCGCGCGCGCGCGTGCCCCTTCACAGCCTCTCCCAGCTGCATCCACCCCCGTCAGTGGGGGGGTGGGGGGGGCAGGCGCCTGTCCGACTGTCCTTGGACAAAGGTGATCTCACATTTTTGTTCTCTCCAGTTGCTTGACTTAAGCCCATTCCGAAGGCTCTGCAGGGAAGGGACTGGCTCTGGGTGTTTTCTCCGCTCTTCTCTTCTTTCGTTTCCTAAAAGAGCATAAATAATTAAAGTTTGGCAGAGAGGAAAAGCTTTCTTGCAGAACTGTAGTGGCAATAAATGAAATGACTCAGAATCCCTTCCCGAGTCAGCTTTTACGAGAGCTGCCAGACAGTGTCTGTTCACGTTCTCCAGATACCAGGGGCGCCCTGACAAAGTTAAGGTCAAGTTAGTGTCTTATCTTGGGTGGCTCAAAATTACCGCATCGTATCCTGGCGCTGTGCGGAAAGCTATCGCTCGTGGAGCTGCCGGCTGCACCCAGAAGGCCTGGAGCGCTCTCTGCGTTTCGGGTGGGGCCGCACAGGCAAGGACAAGGCCACAGCGCCGGGGTCTTCACGGTAGGTTCTCGAGCGGGACGCGAAGGTCGGGAGGCTGCGGTTTTCTCTGGCTTTCGGGATGAGGACCGAGGAGGGAGCTGGGGCCAAAGAACGAAGAGGGTCGAGCCGGGAACGAATGCCCTGGTTTGTAACGGGAGGGGGGCAGGTATCCGGGCTAATGCACCAAGAGGGGCCCATTGCCCCCTTCTCCTATGCACCCACGCGCCGCTGCAGATGGCGCACCCTCCCCCGCCAAAGCGCTGCTCCCGCCGGAGCCGCCGTCGCCATGTCGTTGAACTTGAATGGTTCGTCCTCCCCATTTTCCTCTTCGGCGGTTAGCAGGCTCCACTTTGCGGGTGGCGGGCTGCCTGTGCCCCACCCCGTGCAGCTATCAGAGAGAAGGTGCGAGAATTTTGCGCACCCCGCCAGACACATAAAGACTCGCCTGGGGGCCCCGCCGCTGCCCTGGGTCCTGAGCGACCGCAGGGCCAGTGTGCAGTGTCGGGGGAGCCATTTTAGGAGAGAGATCCAGGGGCGTCGACCACTGGCCCGAAAGGCAGAGACTTGGGCCTGGGATGGAGATGGGGAGGCAGATAAGTGTGCCGGGGGTCTGGGCTGAGGAGAAGGGTGCCAGCTGGAATCTGGGTGGGGGTGCCAGCTGCGGGGAGGGGACACACAAGGTGGGCAGTTCTGGGGGGCTGTCGTTACCCTCCAGTCGCCACCGACCTGTTTGCGCAGTGTTGGGGGAGGGAAGCAGACGTGGGAGGGGGCGGAGGAAGGGAGAATGGGAGGGAGGAGAAAAAGAGGAAGGGGAGACATCAGCCAGAAAATAGATATTAGCTCAGACCACCCGCCTTTTCTCTGTCTGTCGGCACGGTAGGCAGAGAGCACAGCACAGGCACTGCGGTGGCCCGGGCAGGAGAGGGAACCAGCATCACAGCTGGCGCCGCTTGCCCTGGGCATAGGGCCGAGGCTCAGGCCCCAGTGCTGAGATTACCTGAGCAGAGGAATCCTGGGGAAAGGGGCAGCCTCCTGCCCTCGGTTCTGGGATTTGTGTTTGGGTTGAGACTGGTTTGCCTTTGGAAAGCGTCTGCTCTTTCAGAAGTGGGAGCCCAAGCCTCACCTGGACCCCTGAGCTAGGAGAGGGTCCGGGCAGTGGCGGAGAGTGAGGCCTTGGGGCGAATGGATGCGGGACCCAAAGAGTCCTCCTCAGAGCCAGGTGACACAGAGGGGCTCAAGTGGGGAGAGAGCTGCTGCTGACAGCCCTCGGAGAACCAACCGATCTCTGTGGGACCACAGTGACCATGCCGACCCAAGGGCGCGGGAGGAGCCTCCTGGAGGGGACGCGGCGTGAATATGCAGGACTTGGCTGGGCTCGGACGCAGCGAAGGGTCTGAGTGTAAGGCGGACTGGTCCCAGGCCAGGCCTGAAAGCAGAGGGGTTGAGGAGGGAGCAGGCGCTGTGGTTTGTCTTCCGAGAGGAGCTAGCAGAAAGCCAGGCGCCGCCGTGAGAGTAGGACTCCAGATCCTTTTGTTCACCAGACCCCCCAGCTTCTAGGGAGGCCTGGGCCACCGGGCTTTTCCGCTAGCTGAGCTCCTTCCTTGCTTTAGTACTGAGAGAGAAGGCAGAGAGGAGAGACAGTGACACTGTCTGAAAGGAGAAGGGGGGCGGACGGAGACAAGGAAAGTAAGAGGAAGAAGGAAGGAAAGCGTAAACAAAAGGGGAGAGTGAGAGGAGAGAGAGAAGATAGAAGGCTGAAGAGAGACGAAGGAAAGAGAAAGACAGGAACATAGAGAGGGAAACCAGAGAGAAAGGAGGAGAGAGGACTGAGTGGGCCCCGAGGCCCTGGCTGGAGTGAGAGCCTGGGAGGGGTTTGGCGTGGGATTTTTGAGGCCAGCACCCTCGCCCTCAGGGTCAGAACAGGAGAGATCCAAGTTTCTCCGCGGTAAACGCGCTGGGCACAGGAATATGTAAATCAGGGCTCCCTGCGCCCTGGAGAGTGGCGCAATTACACCCCTTGAAGAAGAAGCAACAAGGTCCCGGCGGGTGAGCTGCAGAGGGTGGCGGCGTCGCGGGGGAGGGAGCGGCTGCAGGAAGGGGGTGGGGGTGGGAACCTCACACCCTCACACCTAGTCCCCAGCTTCTAGGGAGCCCGAGGCTGGGGCTCCCCCTTCTGCTCGGCGCTTCTCTCCCTTCCCCCCCTCCTCCCCCTTCCTCCCCCTCCCTCCTCCTCCCCGCCGGCCTCGGTCCGTGTACTTAAAGCGGCGCGGGGCGGGCGGACGCGGGCGAGCGGCCCGGTCGGGCGGTGGCAGATGCGCCCAGCGGTGGCAGCCGCTGGCGGCACGCAGGTGACCGGACTGAGGCACAGTCTGGGCAGGGGGCGCCCGGGGAGAGCTGTCGGGAGAGGGAGGCCGATCCGCCCCCAGCGCGCGCGCGCCTTGGCGCCAGGATCCGTCCCGGGGCGTGTTGGCGAGCGGTGATATAGATATAAGGACATTTCTCTCCATGGCGTCACGTGACATAATTACCACCAGAATCAATCAAGATGAATTGCACGTCAGCGCCCGGTGGGGATTTTTGCTTAGTTGATCCTGGCCCAAGCCTCTTGTGCAATCGATGGCTCAGGTTGGCGGCGCGGGGAGCGGCCCGGGGCTTGCCGGCGCGCACGCCGCGGAGCCATGAACGACTTTGACGAGTGCGGCCCGAGCGCAGCCAGCATGTACCTGCCCGGCTGCGCCTACTATGTGGCCCCGTCGGACTTCGCGAGCAAGCCGTCTTTCCTTTCGCAACCGTCGTCCTGCCAGATGACTTTCCCCTACTCTTCCAACCTGGCGCCGCACGTCCAGCCCGTACG